GAGAGAGAGAGAGAGAGAGAGAGAGAGAGAGAGAGAGAGAGAGAGAGAGAGTGTTGGGAGAGACAAGATAAATCCTGCCTGGGAAGAAGGATGGCTCAGCCTCATGCAGCGCAGAGGTGCTTCCTCCAACACACGCAAGGAGCATCTCCTTTTTCTGGGGGGGAGGGGGCGGGGGGGGAAGGCCAAGGGGACCGAGTCTGGCTGGGCCCAGGAGCCCCCCCCCGGAACAGCCTTTCCATAGGAGCTTCCTTGCAGATGTTCGGCAACCTTGGTTTCCAGGATCCCAGCTTTATATTCCCAGCTGACAAGCAGTGACCGGGTGGGAAAGGGTGGTGGTCCAAGGGCCCACCTCCTCATTCACCCCCTCTAAGGTCCAGGCCCACTTCAGCCCCTTCTTTCTAAGGCTGCTGCCTTTCTGCAAGGCTTCCCTGCTTCCTTCCCAATGCCAGATTTCTTTTTTGGCAGCTGCTTCAAAAGGAAGTCATTCTTTCCAAGGAAAATCCTCAGACAATTCCCACTAGCAGCATCAATTGAGAGGAAGCGGATGGGGCCTCCAGGAACTTCAGCGACCCAATTATTTTCTATTTCGAACCAGTTTGCATTGGTCTGCGGACTTTCTTGGCTTCCGGTGACCTTCCTGGAAGCTGGCAAAGATTCGGTCCTTTCACTGATAAGAGGAAAGCTTGTGAGCAGGTGGCCGGCATCAATCTCGCCTCAGCTTTTATCGGGCTGAGAATGAGATTATGATATTCATCCAGTTTTCCCTTAATGGGTCTCAAGGCATGAGAATGGCTTCCAGACAGGCTTGTCCCAGTCTTTAATGTAAAAAAAAAAGCTTCTGATTGATCTCTGGAAATGGCAGTTTGGGAGGCTCTAGAAACCAGCATAGATTTTCTCCGGGGGACGTAAGATGACCGGCTGCTTCATCCTCCTTACTGGTGCTTTCAAGAAAAGCCAATTTACAGTACAGCCTTTATTGCCATTGTACGAAATAAATACAATTGGAATTTCTCTCAAGAGACGTTCAACTGGGCTCTTGTACCGTACCGAAGGTTGTTGAAGGTGGTTATCTCAGAGGGATTTTGCTTCCAAGGCCTCCCGAGGTTTGCCGAGTTTTGCTCCTGCAGGATTCGTCCTTATATCGAGCTGCATCGGAAGAGGCAGACCAGTTTGGAATGAGGCTGCGTATTCAGGAGTGGAGGGAGCAGAGCCGGTGTAAAAGCAGCCTGCAAAACTAGATGTCTTCACTCTTGGTTCAAAAGCACCTCAACCCTAGCAGCTCCTGAAGCAAGGAGACGAGTAGAAAGAGGACAGGGGTGGCAGCAGTAACAGGGGACTCCACAAATGACCCACCCCCTGAATACGGTGGCACCAGGCCGGAAGTGTCAGTGGGACAAACAGCCAGCATAAGGAAGGGGCATTTTCGCCACTGGACTTTTTCCTCTTCGTCTGAGATCCGTCTGGAAAAAGGGCAGGAAGATGTTTGCCGATTGCCACCAGGTGCATGAGTCATCCCCCCTCCCCCCAGTTCAATACTTAAGAGAGGTCTGGCCTGCCTTCCCCAACCAGGGGAGGGGGGGTATGCAATGCCTGCCCACTCCACTCAGCAGCTGAGGACGAGGGAGAGAAAATAAATATTGAGGTGAACTCAGAAATCTAAGCAGGGCTGGACCAAGGATGGAGGAATAGCAACTCAGGGCAGATGCCAGCTTGGCGGCGGGGTGGGGTGGGGGGAGGAGACAACCAGCCTGTCAATCAATCAATCACTTCTGAGAAAAAGCAACCACATCTGTATTGTTGCCAACTAGCAGACAAGTCAGTTATGCCCCTAAATTGCCCTCCCCTCAAAGAATGCCCCTCCCACTGGCACACTGACTTGGCCCCCAGCCCTAAGCGCCTCAGGAGCACCCACTCCTCATAGCAACCTCCGGAGGCTCCGAAAATGGACATTACAGGTGTGAAGCATTCCCTGGCAGGTTCACACATGCCTGGTGTTTGCTCAGCGTGCTGCAGAAAAGCTGAAGTTTAGACCCACTTTACGTCTGCCGCTTTTAGTAGCCCTTCAATCTGTTTTCCAGAAAGAACATGGGTGGTTTTGCAAGAATACACCCCCACACAAAAAAACAGTTGATACAGATGTTGTCCCTCAACTTCCCAGCAGTTCTACAGTGGACAAAATGTTCTAGCTCCTTCCTTTTCTGCGAAGGTGCAACGCCGTTTCCCGTAGCTTCTCCTTGGCTCCCCTGTGGGAATGGAGACGCGGCCGAAGGGTCCGAAAAGGGATTGGGGGGCCGGGGTGGGAAGGTGGCCAGTCACACCAAGGAGCTGCAAACTTTGAGCAGGCGGCCCAGCTGCACCAGTGAGACAAACGGACTAATGATTAACTTTCATCGGGCCTCTTCTGGCCCATCCTGAAAATATTACTCAGGAAAATGCCACGTAACATCCATCTTTTCCTCCTGTACTGGAATAAGAGCTTGTCCTGCCCCAGAATGACGGTTGCAAAAAGGGGGAAAGTATCCCCAAATGATGAGAGGAAATGTCCTTTTCCATCTTCTCTGCCCACCCCACCCCTCAACTGCCTCTTTGTTGGCTTGATAGGAAGTGGGGCAAGGAAGTCTTCTAGGGCCGACAACACCCTTTGGAACCACGACTCGGATCTGCTTGGGACGTCACTCCAGAGTCCCTGGGAAGGAAGAGAGGGGCTTGCAAAACCTCCACAGCACCTCTGCCCATCCTTCCGTTCCCTGGAAAACGGGCAGCTCCCTCTCTCCCTCTCCCCCCTGCTCACCCAAGGGTCGTTTCCCAAAGAGTGAAGGAAGCTGGGCTCCAGCATCTCAGGGCGTTTAGTAAATCTGGTTGGAGAAACGTCCGTGAGACTCATGCCTGGGATAGGCTCAGCCAGAGTTTGACGTCAAGAGAGGCCGCGTTCTGTGAAGAATTGGACTTAGTTGCAATGGAATGAAAGAGGACTTGCTCTCAAGGTATTTCAGAGGTCTTCTCTTTCTGGCACATTAAACATGATTCTCCCCTAGGAAACCTGGAAAGAGCCCCGGGCCCATGGCCAGAAGGCAGCCTCCAATTCAGAAGCTCTCGTGAAGTGGCTCAGATTCCCAGGCAAGAGGACCCTCGTGGTGGGTTGGGGAACAGCTCCCCCCCCTGCCAACTTTGACATCCACCCTTTCATTGAGCTTTGAGCAAGAAAAGAGAAGCCAGGAATGCAGCTGTGCTTGTGGGTGGCAGCGTCTAGTCCAGTGTTTCTCAACCTTGGCAACTTGAAGATGTCCGGACTTCAACTNGGGGGTGTTCTATAAAACGGGGGGACCCCCCAAATAAAAACAAAACCAGCTAAAACCTAAAGTCAAACAGAGAATAAACCTATGGCTACTCTTTGGCAAGTCTCGCTTTGTGGCGACAAGAGATTCTTGTGGCTCCTGGCCGTGTTGCAAGGACCCTCCTCCCCCCCCCCTGCAAAACTCTGTTTCCTTTTCTGGAGGGGAGCCATTTGTCCGTTTGGTTGCCCTTTGGCTTTGTCCAAAAGCGGAGTTCCTCCCACTCCAGCAATAATAGTAAATAATAGTACAATACACAATCTCCTACGTGGTATTTCTCATTCCTGTTCTCAAAACGTGGCCCCTTTTTCTTGGTTTGTGTTCCTTGAACAATCTTGTCGGCCTTAAATTGTGCTATGTGACGTAGTTTTGCTTTTGAAAATACATGTCGGTCAATGTTTTGCTCTCATGCTAGATTTCTTCCAAACACCCCGGCTTAAAAGTTAAAAGAATGTCATCGTGGCATTTACATTTGACTAAGAAAAGAAAGAACATTTTTAATGTCATTTGTGTTAGTCAGAAGAGCCTTAGGAGGAAGACTTCTGGCATTTACAGAATTAAAACCAAAGTTGTTGCTTCGCTTGAGATACATTTCTCAATGACTGGACAATCCAGTTTTCCCAGTTGCAATATAATCGGAAACATTTTCTCCACCAGCCACATTGTTGTTCTGCGATTGTTTGCATTGGAAAGTCTCCAATTAGAATACTTATACCTGGAAGGTGGATTTCAGTTGTACTGTATTTACATCGCTTCTGAAAAACGGGCCAGGCATTCCTTATTGGCTGTGGGTTTCTATTTCCTCTTTTGAAAACAGACTCCTGAAAAAAGTCCCTTAAAGGTTGCATATAATCTAAGTTTCTTGTAAAAAACGATTCTTGCTTTTGTGGAGTCAATTTTGCAGAAAGTGTATTTACTTTCTGGATTGGATTGAAACTTCATTTGGGTTGAAGCCAGACCAAGGGAGGGGCAGGGAAAGGCAAGGAAGAATTGAAGTTTGCCTTAAAAAAAATCATCTGGCCTGTGGCAAGTAAGAACCACTGTGCTCAAGTTTGCAGATCATGAGATATGCAGCCACGAGATAGCAGAGTTATGAAACGATAGGGACCTCGCAGGCTTGAAATCACAATGGATTCTTTCAAGGTTGGCTGGAGGCTTTTGGTGGAGATGTTTTACTTTTGCGTTTAAAATTTGCTTGCCAGCGGTTTGAAAATGGTATTAAGAAGATAGGATGTGTTCTGTTACGAAATGGCAGTTTTTCAGGAATGAGACGTCCTCTTAACTCTTCCTGTGGGTTTGCGATAAGAGCTAAATACAGAGTGCAAGAACAGAGTGCTCCAGAGTTTGCCCTTCCTTTGCAGCTTCCCCTAACTTTTAGCGTGATTAATCAGCATATAAAGTTTTCCCAAAAAAGTTCATCCAGTGTTTAATCAAGATAAGTGGCTGATAGTTTGCTCTGCTCTTTGTGGCTGTAGCCACGATTTAACCTTGCATCTTTGTGGTCTGGCTTCTCTCCTCACCAAAACGCACAGAAAGCCCTCCTCTGGTTAGAGATAACTGATTCGGGGAGAGCTTTATGCATCTCCTTCTGATTCAGGCTGCCAGAACGAGGGGTAGCGCATAAAATGGAAACATTTTCAGCTCTTTTCTGATCTTCAAGCCAAAAAAGAGAGCATTTTGAGCATGCAGCAGTTTGGTTGCAAGACCCTAAGTTTGTGTCTAACTTGTGACTAAGATTAAAAATTGCACTGCTGCTTTTTTGCTTTAAAACCCATGGCAGGTTCCAGAGAACTGCAGCCTTTTAAGGAGGAAGGGGGGGGGGGGTTGCCCCTCACCTGCAAAACCACTTTGCTCTGCTTCCCCTTCTGTTTAATGTTCCTTCTTCCGTTTGGAGAAGCTGAGGCAAGAGTTGTTTTTAAGCCTGGTAGTGGCAACCTGCGTACTAATAAAAAATAAATAAAATTTGATTTGTGAAAAAAATAAATAAGAATAAAACCCATGGGGGGTGCAGTAGGAAGTTGCAGCAAAGCCCATTTCTAGAGATTGGCCCCCGAGTCAAATACTCTACAATAAAATGAAGTTTTAGTCTTTCACGGTAAAATTCTGGTGTTTCTTTCCTGCTCAGATTGGGGAAGTTCTCAACCTGCGTAGTAGAAGACTCTCTTCATAACTAGTAACTTTCTTTTTGCAGATGTGTCTGCATTTTCTCTCAAAGATTAAAAACCAAGTAACTGATTAACATTAACTTTGTTTTTCCTCTGGGTCAATTATTTCCTTGTCACTGCTCACTGATGGCGCCTTCCAAATTTTGTTAAGTGTTGCTGCTATTGAAATTAGCACGAGAAAGTTAACACAATTCTTACACTCCCTTGTTTCTTTCATGGTTTTGCAACAAGAATGAACAAGGCTGGGAATCAATTGTGTCCAGCGCTGCCTATTTCATTCCCTTTTAATTTTCTGTTGCAATCATTTTCTTTACACTTGTTTTACTGTTTTGGTTTTTATGCTGTCTCCTAAGACTGACAAGAAGAGAGCAGGCTACAGATATTGACAAATGCATAAATAAGCCAATATTCCATAGTCACTAAATAGGCTCAACACTTAGCTGGGGAGGGATTCTACTTTTTAAAAAAGAAAGATGCTTTTATTTGTGGATGTTGTCACTGTGGCTGTGTAAACATCACAGCTTTTGTGATTAGGCCGATATGGGGGGAATGTGGCTCATTGATATCTTGTTTTCTTTTATAGGCAATGTGGCCCTTGATAACCTCCTAATCAAGGAAAATGCTCTGGTAAGCAACTTGGAAGTTATCTTTTTTTTTTACCTCCATGGATCCAAACTATGATTTACAAACTTGATAAGTACAAGATCCAGTCTGGATCAATTCACCAGAACCATTTCAGTTTCTCCGAGGTTTTGGATTTGTGCTGGAGCCCATCCTCAGGGAATTACTCTCTACCAAAATATGTNTGCTATCATGTGTACCAATATCCAGTATATGTGGATTTGAATGCTGAACATGGCCTGGTCCAAGACTAGGCTAAGTGATGGTTTGGCTGCCCAAATTCGGCTTTATTCCCCAGGAAACGTAAGTGGATAGAGAAAGCTTCAGGGTAATTTCATTGCATTTTGGTTCTGACCCCCCCCCCGAGTGAAGGGACCCGTGTCGGATGCAGGAAGGATGCAAGGGGGAGGCTGTGCTCCTCCCAGCCTTTGGCACCCGCCACGCTTCTGAATGACAGAGAGAGCCAGAAATATTTCCTGCTTAATCCAGGCTCCCATTGTCAAATATTGATTCAATGCAACCCCTTAGCAACCCTGGCTGTCTAAATAGAAGGGCAGGATCAATGTCAATGCTCAATCGGATATGAAAAATGGTGACGTGGGCATAAGAGGAAATAACGTGATTTTTGCAAGGAGACAAACTCAGGGGTACGGCCATTATTTTTCATATCCCAAAACAAATGGTATCTAAACTGAACTCTGTGTTCCAACTCCCTTATTTAGAATTTGCACAGTCCTCGCCCGTTGGAAAAGCACACTCAGGAAAATGCTTTTCTAGGAAATATTGACGAAGAGAAGAATATCACTTTTTCTGCTGGCTGTCGAGTGGAGCTCAAATGGGAAAGTCAAACTCAGGGCTTCTGCCCTTATAAATCTCTTTTTGTTGTGATTCAAAAAATTAATTATGGATCTTGAGTTCAGGGAATCTATGATCTGGAGGGCAGTGAGTTACCATGAGAGTTATATATTAGTATAATGTGTGAATCAAGATAATGGAGGTTCATTAAAAACAGTTAAACTAATCAAAGCTTAATGTCTACAACACACCACAAAATCAGTCAAAATTAGGTGGCTTTTAGCAATAATCTCAATCAATTAATGCTTACTTTGGAGGGGTGTGTGTGACAAAGCATATTTTTGATAGGATTCACACATATTGCAAAGACATGTCTTGCTAACCTAGATTATTTAATAAATATGATTGGCTGGATTGGCATAGCACCATTTCTTTCTTTGCTTGAATTGCATTTTGAAAAGTTTTTGACCTTGAAAGTTGATATAAAAACATATTAAAGAAAATAAAGACATAAACTATGGCGTACAAACCACAATGTCAAGGTTCATTAAAAACACACACACACAAACACACCTTACGACTAGTACATTATGGGAATCAGGCTCAATCTATCTAGTTCAACATTGGCACTGAATGATAACCATTTAGTGACACTTAACCCTGTTTTAATTAGCCATTTAATTGAAAGATTTGTTGACAAGCTTGTGTTTCTGGCAGGGAAGCTCGTTTTTCACGCTGCCCTGCTTTCGGACCCACAATTTATTTGTCCTGGTGTTATGAAGATAGCTGCATTAGCCTCAGATAAAAAGCCCCTTAGCCATTTTACAGGAGGGAAGGGGCAACCAGAAGGCATTTTTCCTGGGTTTAATCAGCTTTGAAGGGACCACCGGGGTGTTTGGCTCTGCAGCTCTCACCTGTGATCGGGGAAGGGGGGGGGGAGAAGCTGGCCTGTTGAGTGTTTTTCCCGAGCGATGCTTACCATCCAGGGCAGCCCCTTCAAAACATGCATGTTTAAACAGATGTTTCCCGTCTTTGAAAGCCAAAGCAATTCCTGCCACTGAAGGGTGAACAGATGGAGCTGCCAGGAGTGACCTTTTGCATCTCCATCAGCAGAACTGGGATCCTCTGGCCCCGCCAAAGGCTGCTGCGGATGAGCCGAGGTGGAAGGCAGAGATTGGACAAAGGAGCCGTCATTTCAGGAGGCGGCTTTGGAGAGGCCTCTCTGAGCCCGCAAGTGGGCAAGCAGGAGAGCGGAAGCAGGGAAGTGGCCACTGGATAGGGAAGAAGAGCGGTAGGAAGGGGATGGAAGGCAGCACTGCTTTTATTGTCCGGGTAGCCCTCGCAACGGTCCCCCTCAGGAGCCCAGGAAGGGGCGTGTGCGGAAGTTGCAGGAGGAGCATGCCTGGCGATGTTGTAATGTAGTTTCTTGTGTAGGTCTGGGTCACCCATGGCCCAGTTCATAACGGGGCATACAGAGCCACGCTGAACCACACAGGAGAAAACAAACTCCTAAAAC